TACTGTTGTTGTCATCTTGTGTCACTGGAAAATTTTAGAAAGACATATTAAATGGGTAGTCAATTTATAATGAGCCAAAATGGGTAGACATATTAAATAGGTAGTTAATTTATAATGAGTCAATTTAAAATGAGCCATTCATCTTCTCCATTGAGCCAAAAAGAGCCATTCACCATTTTGGCTCATTATAAATTGACTACCCATTTAATATGTCTTTCTAAAATTTTCCAGTGACACAAGATGACAGCAACAGTAGTTGTGGAATTGTGAAATATAATGTGTTCACGATATTTTTTCTTTATTTAACTTAATTATTTAAAGTATTTTCAGATTCATGTCGCTGCTACTGTTACTTATGGACTAAGTTGATGGCGGGAAAAAGGGGTGAAGTGTGTGAGGACAATTTTATCCTTGTTTATGGAAAGAAAAAGATATTTTTGTATTTAATAAACGGAAAAACTGACGGAATATGGACGGAAGGACGTCCAGCGCAAAGAAAGGTTGAAATGAGGGCAAAAATGCCAAAAAATGAAAGGTATGGACGTTTTCCACAATAGACTTAAAAGATAGGGACGTTTTGTGCCAATTACCCATTGTGAAAAATAGGCTCAATAATTCAGCCAATATAAAAACTACCCCATGTTTGTCAACCATTAAAGTAGGTAAATGAGTGTTGCAATAGTAAATTTTCAAAACATGGGTTTAAAAAGTGGGAAAAATGGTTTTAAATGGACGTGCGAAATATTTTTTCGTCCAAATATGTTTTAAAGGATACCAAATGGGAAGCGGGGGATTTTCTGGGAAACGGACCATCCAACTGTTCCCTCCTGATTAGGGCTCGGCACTGTTGGGTAATTTTGCCATATTCAAAAAATTCCTTCAACCGTAAAAGCTAATTATAGATCCCAATCGTCTGGGCAATGCAGAGACACGCCCAATTTTTCTCCTCTCTCAAGCAAGTGGAAAAAAGGCTCAAACTTGAAAACCACTCATCATTGTCCTCGGCTCTTCCGCCGCCGCCGCCGCCGCTGCCGCTGCCGCCACCGCAAAATCAAGAAAATATCATCAATACCGAACAAACAGATTCTCTTGGTTCCCCCATTTACCTCGACTATGACCCTAGCGCCACCACCACCAATGCAAACACTTCATCCCTCCAAGAAAGTGAAGTCCCTCGAGAATTTCTCACAAATTCCCCTGATTTCCCACCAACCCATGATAGCCCAGCTCAAGAAAAACATTGTGGAATCCACGAACTGGTCTATCAAACTAAAGAAAACAATCTTGACGATGACATTGTGCTTTTGATGCAGCTATTGGGATTATCCCACTGTGAAGAGCCCAACAAAAGGGAAGGGTTCTTTAATGTAGGTCGTGATGATGCATTTTATGGAAAGATTATTGGGATGAAGGGCCCGAAGAATGGGAAGGAATTTGAGAGGTTAGAGGGGTGGATCAATTATTTCTTGAGCGGTGAGAAGAAAGAGCCATTCAGGTTGGCACATTTGCTTTTGTGCAAAGCTATTGTGTTACATTCAGAAAATAATAGCCATGATTTTGGAGGCTTTGAGTTTCCCTCAACTATTGATGAGTTCTTGCAGAATGATCCACCAACAGATTAGGAGTCTCCTTCGTGTTATTATTACTATTATTGCATCGTTTATGTCATGGCTATATGCAGAGGATTCATGAGTATTTCTTGTTTTATTGTATAATTGACCTTTTTTTTAAAATCATTTTTGCTTTGCTTCGTACTTGCCTTTTTAGCGTAGAATAATACGATTTCTTCAAGATCATAGTTTCTTGTTTTACACCCTGCCGAATGGCATAATCCAAATTGAATTCCTATTTGTACTCAGAAACCTCTAAGAATCTCAACTTCTTCAATTAAATTTTCTAAAAACTAGTCTCTCCCAAAGTCGAGATCATGTTAGTTGGTCAAGACACGGAGAAGCCATGATAATTAATCATATCTAGTTTCTCCCGAAGTGCAGGAATGGAGAAGCCTTTCTAATGCCTCTTGTTCTGAGGAGTTATATGATGCTAAATAATGAATTAAGCAGGTTCTTGGACCGTTCTTCACCAGTTGACACAAAATGATTGCCTAGTTGACAATCTGTCTTCTCCTGTAAACACTGTAGCCTTCTTTTGGATTCCTCGCTGTAATACCAAAATTGATGCACATCTATATTTGTAGTAGCTTTCCTCATGTATGCAAATTCTGATACTCTGATTCATGCGTAAGCATGCATTTCATAAGATAGATTTATCATGAGATAATGGCGTCAGGAAAAATTGAAAATGAAACATAAGTAGTTGCATCTATGAAATTTTACCTACGATAAGATTGAGGTTTTTCAGGCTTCACATTCGCATTCCCTGACCCACCTGGAATAGATCCAAGGGGATAGCTGTGTAAAAGATCTTGAGTTGTGAGTCGGTGAACACAAGCTAATTTTTGGGATTGTTTTGTTACGCTTGTTCTAATTGAGGTCCAAATCAGAAAGTGAATCGAGTTCAGAAGTAACATCTTGAATCGTGCTGCAACCAAAGATCAAGCAGCTGTTTGAGCGCATAACTGTTCGTTCTTTTTTATTTTATTCTATTTATTTCCCTCTTGGAATTGCTCTTTCCTGCTGGTTATCATGCTGTGAACAACCTTACTGGTGTGTAATCTAATTTCTGTGAATCAACCAATCCGACAATCCACTAAGGTAACCTATTTCTCACAGCCTCAGAGAAGTCTTGATAGTGTTTGTATGAAAGTACAACTTGAGTTTCTCTTTCTTAGATCTCGTACTTGAAGCTTTGATCAATTGAAAGAGGTCATCAGGAATGTTCTGAGGCATGTTATTGTCAGCTACAGATTTACATGTAAGATTCGACAAAAAGCCAAAACCTTTTTGTATTTTTTCCAGATTTACATGTGAGAAAATCCTGATTAGACGAATCTGGAGGGAGGGATCATTCCAGAAAGCTGGTTTTGCCTCAGATCAAAGCCTATGTGGGAGCATTTGAATCACAATTGTCTGTATGGAATTATTCCTGTTAGTTGTAATTGGGGCCATGTTAAAACAATGCTGTGTTACTTGGGCAATCTGGGATGCTTCCATTTTAAATTATTTTTCTGAAATTTATTGCTTGCAGATTTTGTAGTTACTGGAAAAATAGTTTGCATGAGGGGGTAAGCTGTGAGCTGACCAGAAAGGCTGATTTTCATTTTTCAGTGAATGAAAACAGAGTAAGATCAAGAACTTGGAGGCAGGAGAGCTTCTATTACAACCACATTAGGTAGATTCACCTTTGAAAACGATTTGTACGGAGAGAGTGTTTTGTGAAAGCTATGATACGATGAACTTGGATTTTAAGATCTTTAACCGTGTTTTCTAGTGGTGATCAGAAGCAAAATAATCGACTTAAGAACAGAAACAAAAAATGATGAAGATTTAAAAAAAAAAATAAAAAATTATTGGTGTTTTCTAGCAGTGATGAAAGTAAATTAATCTACTTGAAAACAGAACAGAAAATGAAGACTGGAAAAAATTGAACGTGACAAAAACAATTGGGTGACAGCTGTGGGATTTGAACCCACGCCCTTTCGGACCAGAGCCTAAATCTGGCGCCTTAGACCACTCGGCCAAACTGTCTCGAATGGAAGTAATGGGTAACAATTTATTTATTTAAATCATATTTCGTTTTACTAAAAATCAAATAATTAGTAGGTTTTGAACAAAAAGTGTTGTTGAAAAATTGATGGCGTCGTAAAAATGTTATGCTAAAATTAATTGTTGACTTTGACTTAAACTTTTATCAACTTTTTCAACTAAAGCAAATGGAGGCTAAATTTTATCCCCCTTCCTCCTTTTTTTTTTCCTCCCCACAAAAGCATAGTTCTTATCATTTTTCCAAATAGGTGACTCTCAAGGAGCCACGTAGGAAATGCACATGAATTTTATTGATATTTATGTTATGCTAGACTTTACTCGACGTTGTATATTGAGAGTATCGAACATGGTTTAAACTTTCCAATATTACTACTGTTGAAATTGTGCTACCAACCCATTCAAGAAAATATGAAGAGAGAAAAAAATGACAACGAAAAGATGGTCACAGGATCAAAAAATTGTCTAATTAATTAATAAATGAAAAAAAAATTAAAAAAAGAGAGTAGAAACTAGTGCAAAATTAATTTCCATTGAAATATACGTTTCACCTAATAGCACAGCACATTTTCCGCTCATTAAGCCAATTACTACAATTTTTTCATAATAACAAAACAACCTAATACCTATATTAAATTAAATAATCATAAAGACCATTATTTCATATTTAATATTCAGTTTTAGATGTAAAGACTTTTCATTTTTGGGTAAAAAATAACCAAATAGATGGTATACAAAACGATACCCCTGAAATAACTTGGTATTCCAACAGAGATCACATGAATTTCTTTGAGCTATAAATTCAAGCATTCTCTCACTTTATTTTCAACACATATCTTGAATATTTTGAGTTCATCACACAATTCTGCATCCATGTCTAACTCATTTCCAATTCTTGGATCCTTTCTCCTCTTCTTGTTCGCCATTTCAGGTATATTTCTTCAAAATTTCATTTTTCTTGAGTCGATAAAGCTTGAACTGTTAGAAAGTGTTACCAGTCTTCGAGACGACTTAACTGAATCAATTTTTGTTATTTCAGGTGGAAGTTTGAGGCCTGTAAATGGACAAGCACCTGGACAGGTAATTTAGAGGCAAAATATAATAGAAAAAGCAAAGTCTTGTTAAAAAGAAACAATTTCTTGAAATAATTAGGAAATTTTCGTGTGAATATACAGAGAGTTTGGTGCATTGCAAGGCCATCGACATCAGATCAGGCACTGATAGATAACATTGAGTATGCATGTGACATAGTAAATTGTAGCATGATCCAACAAGGAGGGCCCTGCTTTTACCCTACTAGTCTGATAAACCATGCCTCAGTTGTAATGAATCTTTACTACCAGAAAATGGGAAGACACTACTGGAATTGTGATTTCAAGAATTCTGGTCTCACTGCTGTCACTGATCCAAGTAAAGTATTATATCCAGTTTGTCCCTCCCCAAGCTGCCCCTTTTCTCGTCCCAGTCCCACTGGGGAAGGGGGTGAATTTTTCTTTCGATAAGGTTAAAATTGATATTTAGTTCAAAAGAACGTCTTTTGAACGAAAAACTTTATATGTATAATCCTTTTCGCTTTGACTATGAAAAAAGGGGCTCTTTAAAAAAAAAAAAATTCCATTTAATTTTGTTGTTCATGTTCTGATTATGGATATTAATGATCTTTGCAATTTTTTTAATGATCTTGCAGGCTATGGTGACTGCAAATATGAGTGCTAATTTGGAAGGATACAACATTTTCTAGGATATTTTCTATTACTACTTTTTTCATCATTTTGCGTTCTGAATAAGTAGTTGTAAAGATTCTATTTACTTTCATGCATTTTATATTAATAAAATTGTAGTTAAGGAACTTGATTTTCTTGGTACTGTTATTTTCTATATCTTATGCTGCTTCCCTAGTGCTTGAAATAGGATTTGTATTTTCTACCCACCGCTCTCACACACTTGACTTTGGGAGATTTGGAGGGTGAAAATTGAATTGAAGGAAAATGGATGGATGAAAAATTGAGAATGTAAAGACGATTGAGTTTGATTACTTTGGAAAGAAACCAGACTTAATAGTATTGATATTCATGAAAATTCAACCTTTAACTGGATTGAGCAATGGACACTGTCAACCAGAAAAGGATTTGAATGAGAAAAAAATAACTAATTGATGGTAATCTCTTCATAATCTTATCCAAGAGAACCCAAAAAAGAGATTTCTTTTTCTTTATTTTTTCTAAGCAGAAAAGCAATTTTGGTTAGAAATATTAAATGCAGTCTTGGTAGGTTGTATACAGATCAAGAAAATTTGCTACATCTATTGGTCTATAGTGATGACTGAGGACTCCTACAGCTAAAAGGTCATTCTGATGGATGGTATAAAATTAGGCTAAGTTTGTAAATTAACATAAACCGTTTTCTTGTCAAATAAAGACTCGAAAATGAATTCATTTTCGCCAAGTTGTAAAACAGAGATTCTACTGCCATTTTCAAGAAAAACATGCCAAATATCCATCAAAATATAGCCGAGGAAGAATTGCCTTCACCCCATGGTTCTCCCATTTCAAGCACAGGGTCCCTCAAGTATTTTACTCTTTGACTTGCAACTTGAACATTCTTTAAGCAGTTCCCTGTCCTTTATGTAAATGGCTTCTTATAAAAGTAAAGAAGGACGGATAAGCTCTGAAAGGAGAAAAAGATTAGAATGTCAATAGACGTCTATTATTGAACTTTAGATCTCAATCAACCACCTTCGCCAAATCGTAGCAACTAGAGCTTCTACTATTCCTAAAAGCTGATGTTCATTGTTGGGAGCCAAAGACAATTTTGATGAAAAATCATCATCCGTACAAGTAGCTTAATTGAGAACTTATGAGAATTTAGTGGGCCTTCCATAAAATTGAAACAATAGAAAGTAGTGCTTAACACTTCTTCTGTAGTGTTACTTATGTTAATTTCCTTTTAAAAATTATTGGATCCAATGCTCGGGCTACAGTTGGCCAAGCCCAATTATGTTCAATTTCCACTTTCCTAACAAAAGTAGAATGTATTATAGTATATGCACATACGGGGAGCGGGAGAGGGAGAGGGAGAGGGAGGGAGAGAGAGAGAGAGAGAGAGATGCAAACTCTGAGGCAGTTGACACCATATGTAAAGGAGGCTCTGCAACAAACCCTCCGTGTGACCAAATTCTTTTGCTTTCTTCATGTTACAAACACGTACATTTGCACTTTCGCCTGGGTACGCATCAGCATGTTGTACCTCAAAGTACTCTCTTGCTGGAGATAAATTATTGAAGTATAAATTCTGTCATTGCAGGGTATGGGTCCCAGCATGCTCCCAACGATCAATCTCTACGGCAACTTGCTTTTGGCTGAAAGAATCTCGACCCGTTTGGGGAAAGTTGGCCCGGGTGACGTGGTCCTGGTACGGAGCCCCGAAAACCCGAGACAGATTGTGACCAAAAGAGTGAAGGGCGGGGAAGGTGACAGCGTTACTTACTTGGTGAATCCTAAGAATAGTGACGAAGAAAAGACTGTTATTGTAATTGACCCTAATTCTTAAACTTTTTCCATTATCAATTTGTTTCAGAAATGTTCTTGTTTGTTGTATAATGAAAAGTTGGTCTAGATAAAATACTGTTTAGGGTTTATGGGATTCTAGACAAATTTCTTATGTACAATCAATCTGTTTAATATTTCTTACAGTCATCTATATAATCCTCTGCATGGACAATATAGTTCTCTGTCTCTTCCAAGTGCATAATATGTATGTATAATTATATTCCTAGAGCAAGGTCCAAGTATTGGAGCATGTATTAGGCCACTGAAGAGTTGTGATTGAGGCTTCAAAGGTTGTGAATTAATATGTTGTTATCAGTTTTCGTATGTGTGTGATAAGTTTTTGCTCTTTCTAATTTTTAACCAGATTTTGGAATTACTTTTTCAATTTTATCAGGTACCAAAGGGCCATGTTTGGATAGAGGGGGATAATAAATATAATACGAAGGATTCAAGGAAGTTTGGGCCAATTCCCTATGCTCTTCTACAAGGCAGAGTTTTCTGTGTGGTAGGCAAATTTATCATTTAGCTGCAGAATTTCAGACTTCAAATTGCTTTATAGCCTTATTTGTGTTTCTTGGATTTTTTTTATACGTATTGAAAAGCATCTAGAGGCTACCTTTTAACTTCAATTTAAATGGATTGTAAACTGGTTTGAATTAGACAGATTGAATGGCTTAAGTTCAATTCTACTAGAGTTGTTTGATTTAAGTTTCATTTAAATTTCAATGTTGTGAAGATCTATTCTTGCTTTATTTTGTATGTAGTTATGGCCTCCCGAAGATTTCAAATCTATAGGCAAGGATATTCAGTAATTCGAGATCCGGTGAGATACATCTGTTTACGACCTTCTTTTGCTAATAGTTTTTACTTTATTTGCGGAATGTGGCATAGTTATGTTCATTGTAATTATGATGGAAACAAGATTAAGAGATATGCATACTTCTTTTTGCAGTCAAGCAATCTTCCAATGGCACTGTTGTGAACACGCATGGACCTAACTCTGAGTTACCATCGCGTGCTGTTCTTTAAATGTGTTTGTTCTGTTGAACATCTCCCTTTTTAATAAAGAATAAATTGGGATGAGCTAATAGTTTGGAGGCCCATGGGCTTTCATTTTTGCACCTAATAGTAGTAATTTCATAAGTAGCCGTGCAGTTTGGCTAACTTCGCCGCATTCATATAATGATTTCGAATATAATTGTATTCAGCATGTTTCGATAAAAGTTAGTTTTCAGTAGAAGGAATTTAAAAGATTCCATAAACTGATCTCAATTTGGGATATCATTTGTTGAAAAAAGCTTTATGAAGCTGTTCCTTTTTTAAAATTATAATGAGATTAACTTTTGGATGCACATGGTCCTGATTGTTTTATTGAACTAGGAAGACATGGGAATGGATTTCTCTGTGTGTGTGTGTGTTTATTTTTTATTATTTTTATTTTTTCAGGCTGGTTGAGGTTTTGATGTGGTTCCTTGATTGAATTGAACTAGATATATCAATTACATTTCATTCTATTAATATTCATGTATGTTAAGTCTTTAACTTTTTAGTTTATTTACGTGATGGACTATATATATATATTTATGTTATTTCCTTACACTACTTTTGCCACCATCACATCCCGGGCAAATGATATTGGAACAGGGTGTGTCATGTTGCATCTAGACTGCATAATGAATTTAGCATAGTTAAGGAAAGCCATGTGCAGTGTGAATGCAATCAAACTGTTATCAGATTATATGCATTACATTTCTGTCATTTACTATATGTTTTCCTACTATATAACTTTTGATGGCAAAGAAAAGTTAAAACTGATGACGTCAAAAATTCCTTGCTAATATTTATATGATTTTATTTCATTGAAATTCGATGTCTATGGTTTATCAAATGGATCAGTTTGTAAGAACTCATTCACTCCTCACTGTGATGTGTGATGCAGTTGATGATCTACATAGATATTTTGAAATTGGGTGTCCAGAAGCAAGCAGTTTGAAGGTTTTGTTCTACTTGACCTGCATATGTTACTCAGAAATGAGCATCAAATATCTTATGAATCATGTGGATGCACTATAGCAGGAAACGTTAATTTTTTTTTCTTTCTTTCTTTATCATGCTCGTCTCGTCACTGTATTGTCTTTACCGTGTTCTTCAAAAAACCCACGAGTAAATATTTATTCTTGACTCTGTGAAATGCTGGTTCAAGAAATTTTAATCCATCTGTTTCTTAATTAGTCTCCACTTGCTTGATGTAATGACTAATCTATGACAAAAATATCTTATAATAAATCATCATATCGCCCCCGTTTCTTTGGGTTTTTATGTTGTAGTAAAATAAATCATCCTTAATTGCGATGTGATTTGTCCAGTTCAAAGATTAGTGTGTTGAATTGAAACTGACTGTACCAAATTCAAGTGTGTGCACATTTTATTGTCAATTTTGTTAAGATTTAAATATTTTATTTCATATTTATTAATATTTAATGGAAGCTCTAGTCATTGGTAGGTTTGTCCAGGTTTTTAGGTATTTGTTTATTTGATTTCGTGGTTGAGTAAGTGTCTTATGTGTGATCCTATTTTATAGGAGTTGTGGTTAGTGCTAGGATGAATCTTTCTCATGTAAAGCCTATTTATAGGACCTTTTTCTTTATCAAATGGAATAACAAAGCTTTGCCATTCCAACCCGTCTCTTTTGCTTTTCTTAACTGGAGTATCAGTGGTATCAGAGCCATCAAATAGTGAAGAGTTCCCAAATAGTAAGAAACCCCAAAACAGTTCAAAAATAGCCGCATCCATTCTCTCCTCCAACTCCCCCCCTTTTTTTGAGGAATCAATGGCTTTAGATTCAAAATTTATGCAGGCAGCGATTCCATGTTTTAATGGTTACTATGACCATTGGAGTATGTTAATGGAGAATTTTCTACGGTCAGAAGAGTATTGGCAAATCGTTGAATCTGGAATTGAAGCATCGGCACCAAATTTTGTCTTGACAGATGCCTAAAAAACAGAGTTAGAAGGGCGAAAGCTAAAGGATCTGGAGGCAAAAAATTAGCTTTTCCAAGCCATTAATCGTCACATCTTGGAAACAATTCTTAGCAAAGAAACTTCCAAAGATATTTGGGATTCCATGAAAAAAATATCAAGGCTCTGCTAGAGTGAAGCGTGCACGGCTTCAATCCTTGAGAAGAGATTTTGAGACTCTACAAATGAAGGATGGGGAGTCTATCACGAGCGAATGTGCTAGGACTATGGAGTGAAGTAACAAAATGCGATTTCATGGTGAGAAGATGGAGGATGTCACCATTGTGGAGAAGATATTATGTTCCCTGACACTAGGGTTTGATTATGTCGTGTGCTCCATTGAAAATCGAAAAACATAGATGCATTCTCTCTTGATGAACTGCAGAGTTCCTTGTTGGTCCATGAATAGAAGATGAACCGAAGTTCAACTTTAGAGGAATAGACTTTGAAGGCTTCCACCTCTACTCATTTCTCAAACTCTAGAGGAAGGGATCGAGGTAGAGGAATGGGAAATCAAGGCAATAGAGATGAGAGCAGGTAGTGATGGCAAAAAAATCCGCCCTGAACGGGTTGGCAAGGCGGGGCGAGGCATTCTCGCTCCGCCCTGAACCCATCCCATGAAGGGGGAAAAAGAAGATTAAAGATAATTTTGTTTCTAGACAATTCACCCGTTAAAAATCTATTTTGAAATTGTATTTTATTATCTAATAATGATATAACTTGAAATTTTGAAAATGTAAAAAAAATTAAATGGGGCAAAAAGTTGCTTTGCCTCGCCCCGTCTAAGGCGGGGCATGTGGGCTGCGCGAGGCCAACCACTTTGCCATCCCTAGCAGCAGGTCTTTCAAAGTCAACGATGATCAATTTCAGGACCAAGGCAAAGAATGAGATCAACATTTTGACAAGTCCAAGGTGGAGTGCTTTCGATGTCATAAATTTGGACATTATCATTCTGAATATCAAACTAGGCTACCCAAGGACAAACAAAATGAAGAGCAATCGAATTTTGCTGAAAAGAAGGAAGTGGAAACTTTGTTGATGACTGTTCGAGCTAATCAAGAACCTGATTATGATGTTTGGTATGTGGACACAGGCTGCAATAACCACGTGTGGAAGTAAGTCTTCTTTTTTTTTTTTTTTTTTTTTTTTTAATAAATGAAGGCTTTCATTCTATAGTAAGTTTTGGTGATTGTTCTATTGTGAGGTGATGGGAAAGGGTGATATTGAAATAAGAACCAAGAATGGTTTTGTAGAAACAATTTCTAATGTCCTTTACGTTCCTGACTTGAAAAGTAATTTGTTAAGTGCTGATCTATTGCAAGAAAAGGGTTATGTAATCACTATTCAAAAGGGTGTTTGTGAAATCTATGATTCTACTTGAGGAGCCATTGATGTTGTGCAAATGAGTTCAAACAAGTTGTTTCCATTGAAGATAGAAAGTGTGCAATCTTGTTTGGTAGTTGAAGTAAAAGATCCTTCTTGGTTGTGACATTTTCGTTATGGCCACTTGAGTTGGATTGAAGACTCTCCAACAGAAAAATATGGCGACAGGTCTTCCTCATATTAGTATTCCTTTCCAAGCTTGTGAAAAATGTGTTGTTGGCAAACAACATCATTCTCAATTTCCCCAAGGGAAGTCATGGCAAGCAAAAGATGCTTTGGAGCTAGTTCATTCCGATATTTGCGGCCATATAACACCATTTTCTAATAGAGGTAAAAGATACTTAATTACCTTCATTGATGATTATACTTGAAAAACTTGGACTTATTTTTTTATAGAAAAAATTAGAAACTTTTTGTGCATTTAAAAGCTACAATGTCTTCCTCATATTAGTATTCCTTTCCAAGCTTGTGAAAAATGTGTTGTTGGCAAACAACATCATTCTCAATTTCCCCAAGGGAAGTCATGGCAAGCAAAAGATGCTTTGGAGCTAGTTCATTCCGATATTTGCGGCCATATAACACCATTTTCTAATAGAGGTAAAAGATACTTAATTACCTTCATTGATGATTATACTTGAAAAACTTGGACTTATTTTTTTATAGAAAAAATTAGAAACTTTTTGTGCATTTAAAAGCTACAAGGCTCGTGTGGAAAATGAAATAAGAAAGACCATTAAGACCCTCTGAACAGATCGTGGTGGATAATATTGCTCAACTGAATTTGAAGGTTTTTGTGAAGTAAATGGCATTCGAAGAGAGCTTACAACTACTTATACACCACAACAAGATGGTGTATTAGAGAGAAAAAATAGAATCATCCTCAATATGGTGAGAAGCTTGTTGGCAAGAGGGAGAATTCCAAAACCTTTTTAGCCTGAAGCAATAAATTGGATATTCACATCTTGAACAAAAATCCTACATTTGTTGTGCAATATATGACACCAGAGGAGGCTTGGAGTGGAAGGAGATCGGTTGTAGATTATTTTAAAATTTTTGGCTGCATTGCTTATGCACATATCTCGAATGGGAAAAGGGAGAAACTTGATGACAAGGGGGATAAGTGTGTCTTTCTTGGCATTAGTGAAGCATTCGAAGCATATGAATTGTTCAATCCTCTAACCAAGAAGATTGTGACCAGTCGAGACGTTGTCTTTGATGAGGGTGGGATTGGAATAGGCAGCAACCTACTCAAATTCTTTTTGACAATGATTCTGAAAGTAAGCCAACTTCAATAGTCTTTATGCCTGAAAATTCATCAGAAGCAACTCCAACAACTACTGAAATTTTGCCAACGGCAGCAGAAACTACTAATGTAGTAGCTCGATCTCTTCGTCGTATTCTAAAAAGGCTCGTATGGATGGAAGACTGTGATGTAACTGAAATTGAAGATCCAATCACTCACTTTGCTTTATTTTCAGATTGTGATCCCACAACTTTTGAAAGTACCGTCAAAGAAACAAATGGTGAAAGGCGATGGATGATGAAATTGACGCCGTTGAAAGAAATGATTCTTGGGAGCTGACTGATCTTCTGAACAGGCACAAAACCGTTGGTGTAAAGTGGGTCTTCAAAACAAAACTAAAGGACAATGGTGAAGTTGATAAGTATTAGGCGTGTTTGGTAGTTAAGGGATATAAGTAGGAATATGGGATCGATAATGTAGATGTTTTTGCTCTCGCTGCAAGAAATGATACAATCAGATTGGTGATCGCATTGGCGGCGTAGAACATGTGGCCTACTTACCAACTAGATGTCAAATAGGCATTCTTACATGGAAATTTGGAGGAAGAGGTATTTGTAGAACAATTCCTTGGTTATATTAAGATCGGAAATGAGCATAAAGTATATAGATTAAAGAAAGCTTTTTATGGATTAAAACAAGCTCCATGAGCTTGGTATAGTCGCATTGATGCTTATTTTTTGAAAGAAGGTTTTCCCAAATGTCCATATGAGCGCACACTTTTTGTTAAAATTGGAGATAAAGGGAAACTGCTCGTTATTTACTTATATGTAGACGATCTTATATTTATTGGAAATGATGGTGTCATGTTTTAAAGTTTTCAAGAAATCTATGATGGTTGAATTTGAAATGTCTGACCTTGGTATGATGCATTACTTGGCACGGAAGTAGTGCAATCAGCTAATGGGATCTTTATTTCTCAAAAGAAGTATGTGTGAGATATTTTGGATAGGTTTCAGATGAAGGATTGCAATCTTGTAAGCATTCCAATTGAGTTTTACTTGAAACTAAACAAAGATCATGAAGGGAAGAAGGTGGACAACACACTTTTCAAGTAAATTGTTGGCAATTTTGATGTATTTAACTGCAACAAGGCCAGACATAATGTATTCTGTGAGTTTAATAAGTAGATATGTGGAGAATCCAACATAAATGTATTTGTTAGCTGCCAAGAGAATCCTTCGTTACTTGCAAGGAACTAGAGATTTTGGGCTATTTATACCCTCTTATTAGTACATTTCCACCTCATCGTCCCTATGATTTACTACTTAGCATTGTCCTTGAGGAACATATCACATCATTGCATCGTTATGTCCTATTAATTATGTTGCAGAAAACATCAGGGGCACGTCAAAACAGTATCATTTGGTACATATAATTAAATGTGAGGTTTACAGTTTCTATAACCGTAATATGAACAATTTTCTACTTGTACCAAAAAAAAAAAAAAAAAAAAAGGTTGAACCCCAACCTTGAGGGCTCCCACCGCCCCGCCCCGCTTTGTGAAGGAGGTAAATCGTGGAACGTGCCCTAGCAGGTTAGGGAACAAGAGCTGCCTGTACACCGCGCCTTCAAGGAATTCAATTCCATGTCTTAGGAATCGAACTTCCACACTGCGGCTGTCAGCAAGGCGTGAGATAACCTCAATCCTATCCTTTATACCATTAGGCTATGTCGCGGGAGGCTATGTGTGATCCTATTTTATAGGAGTTGTGGTTAGTGCTAGGATGAATCTTTAATAGGCCATTTTTCTTTATCAAATGGAATTACAGAGTTTTGCCATTCCAACCCGTCCCTTTTGCTTTTCTTAGCTGGTGTATCAGATTTTTATCCAACTTAAAGTTCCAGTGTGTCCTTTTAATTGTGTGTTTGATTGATTTTATTTTCTATGGAAAATATATATATTTTTTACGGAAAATACTATTTTTTCATCGAAATTCTTACTTTTGGGGTGTTTGATTGACAAGTTTTTCATGGAAAATGTTTTTCAATTTTTGGTCACGTGATCATATTTTTCTCAAAAATAAGGAAAATATGTTATATGGGGAGAGGCGGTTTTTATTTTTGAAGTAATTTAATCTCTCTTTAATCTACCCACCAATAAAAAATGAAAAATTTATATTTTATATGTTAAAAATTAAATTAATCAAACACATTTAATTAATAATTTTCATATAAATAAGTTCTAAATTGCTTAAAATTTATTTTTTCTTTACATGCAAATTTTATGCTGACAATCAAAAAGTACGCAATTAAACCTCTATCAAAATATATAATTGATTTCATCCTAAGATTTCATGAAATTCACAACTTTTATTAATTTTTAAATTATATATTTTATCATCTTTTATTAAAATTTACTAAAATTTAGATTTTTAACTAAATAAGGAGGGGCTTGCTCACAAATGCACGAGTCTTTTCTTTTTATTTTCCTCTCTTTTTTTCTCGATATGATGATGTTATGCAAGAAGCTGCTAAGGAAATAAGCTTTAAATTTCTTGATATTTAGCTAGAAGTTGTATTATATATGCTGCACAGCACATGCATTCGCAGTGGTGAATCCAGGATTTTGAGTCAGCACGAGCGGCCATTGATTGTCGACCGTCAGTTGCAATAAAATATTAAAAATCCGTTTGATGTCCTTTATTTTTTAGCAAAAAATACATTTTGAAATATTGATTTCATGGAGAACGTGATGTTAAAAATAAGGAAAAATTTTGAATTTGCATGTAATATTATTTTATTGAAGAATGTATGCTTAAAAATAAAATAAATAAAAATCTATTTTAAAAAAATGAAAATAAGACAAGACCTAAAATTTAAATATAAAAATTATTTTGTTTATATTGAATATATATAATTCCGTTATAAGAATAAATCGTATATTCACCAAACGACATTATTGCCAAGTTTCGTATAATTTAAAGGAAGAGTATGATTTTGAATCTTTATAATTTTATTAAACCCAATAAATATAATATATATTATTTTGTTGAGTTAAGTGCCAAAAGCAATGGATGCCATAGTGGTCAGACTTTCAATGGTCGGAGTAGAAGCTCATGGTTTGAATCTCATCCAACTCTTTTCTAGTGCATTCATTTTGTTAGAAATTGTAAAACTAAAAAATTTGCACAATAAGTTAGCTGTGAAGAGATTCGAAATCGAGACTTGCAAAATGTAAATATAAGCTCTAACCATTTCAGTCAGAAGGGGATTCCAAAAAATAGAAAGAATTATTAGTAATGTAGATCTTTCATCTACAATAATAAAAAAAAAAAAAAAATAAAATTTTTGTCAAAAAAAAAAAAAAAAAAAAAAGCTTCAGTCGGATCCAACTAGGGCGACCACCCTAGCTCGCCACTACCTAAATCCGCCACTGTGCATTCGATGAGATTTTTTCAATACTAGTAAATTTTTTTAATTTAAAACAGTATTATATAGTAAAGAATTCGGTTTATATGTAGAATTTATTTTTTATTTATTATTATTTTTTTAACTCATTCGTAGATGATAGAAGAATCAAAGTTTTATTATGAAATTCATTTTCTTTCTCAAACATGGCTATTGTTGTCCATTCCTCTGCGCCCTTACTCGCCAGTACCTGGATCCGTCACTGTGCATTCGATGAGATTTTTTCAATAGTATTAATTTTTTTTAATGTAAAAAAGTGTTATATAGTAAAGAATTCGGTTTAAGTGTAGGATTTTTTTTTTTTTTTTAACTCATTCGTAGATGATAGAAGAATCAAAGTTTTATTATGAAATTCATTTTCTTTCTCAGACATGGCTATTGTTGTCCATTCACAGATGAAGTACAGAATTTTATGCATTAAATAATCCATATAGCCCTCCGTTAAAATGTAGAATTAGTTTTGAATCTTTTACACATCATTTTCAGAAAATACAAACACGTTTGGCTAATTTTAAAAAGGGGAAAAAAAAATTATCAGTGAAAATTGAAAATAAGTCACCTATTTAAACGTATGGTGAGAGAAATTATTTCTGTCTCAAGAATATTGCCAAAGGAGAAGCTGGGTGTTATGTCTAACACACAATACGTAATATAATAGGTTCAGTGATAGAGGAAATTACATAAAAACAGGTATGTAAATGTTCTAATTCAAAATTCAGGTGTGAATGTTTTTTATTTATTTATTTTTTATTTTTTTACCAAAAATCAGGTATTAATTGAATTTACCCACTTACCCCACTACAAAACCTAAATTCCCCCCCCCCTCCCCCATAGAAAAAGTGTACTGCCTACATTTTTTGGAAGAGTGGCAATCAGTGCGGTGAGTTTCTTGTCTAACTATGTATACTCTACTTCTTTTTAGCGATTTTCAATTTGATACACACGATTTTCAGTTTACAAATTGTGAAATAAGGATTTGGAACCCGCTTACCAGACTCGAGTCGGTGTGGTGCAAGCGACGATGATGAATTTTGTTGGTGGTATGGTGCAGGCAACGATTGTGGTTGTTTGGTTTCTATGGGTGTCTGTTTTTGTGAGTTTTGAGTAGATATGGTGGTTGGGATGTGTTTGGATGGTGTTTTTTTGTGGTGGCGGTGGTGATGGTGTTTGTGTGGTGGCGATTTTGTGGTGGTGGTCGTGGTGACAGATCTGGCTGTCGGGATGGGTTTTATTAAATTTGGCGGTGGTTTGGGAGAGTTTTGGTATTATTAGGGGGTTTTAGTTGGTTTTTGTTGGTTGTGAAGGTAGAGGTACTTTCGACGATGGTGGACTTGGTGACAATTTTGTTGGTGGTACTGGTGGAGGAGTTGACGGTGGTGTGGTTGATGGTGGTGGTGGTGGTGTGGTGCTTTGAGGGCGGTCGCAAGTGGCGTTGGTAGTGACAATGACGACGATGTTGGTAGCGGTGAACCAATTATTTGGTTATATTTGATCAAGTATTAAACCGTGACCTTCAAATTTAATAACTTGTGACTGAAATATAATTTCTGACCAACAATTTTAAAAATCTATGATTGATAATAAACTATGTCCTGTAATATTTTTTATTTCTGACCAATGAAATAAATTGCCCCCTATAAAAAAATTTATTCTTGATCTTCGAAATAATTTGTGATCTACAAAATTTTTGATTTGTAACCTCGAAATAATTTGTGATAAATTAATTTGACAATGTGATCAGTAAAAAAGTTGTGACCTATGATTATGTATAAGTGATCATTAATTGTATATTTGTCACCTTATTAAATTTAGTTAATAAATATTTTTAATTAATTAGCTTATACCTGAGTTTTGTATTTTAAAACTTGATACTTGAAAATTGAATTTGTCATACTTAACCCCTGACTTTTGAATTTTTCCCTAAGTAATAGGTGGAGTGGTAATGATCGAGCCCGTCAAGTGGTCTTGGTCTTTCTTTATAACTTGGACTACCAAGTGTGATTTTCCACCCAATAGCATTAAAGTGCATTCAATTACAAGTTTCCAATTAAACTAATTGAATCTAGTCTCTGTCCCAATTATTTATCATCGCCTTGAGGTTTATTTGGTATCAAAATACCCAATAAACCTTCACTTTGATGCCAAATATACTTGCAAAAAAGACAAACGAGTTTAGTATTCGCACAATGTGATTTCAAACAAAATTGAAATGTCTTATCTTTACCGATATTTAGAAGAATAAGGCAATTTCTAAACTTTACCAAGGGAAGCACTTTAGTGCCTATGTCTGTAGGGTTATACGCAGAATGAACTTTCTCAAATTTTATCAAACCATGAGACACTATATCTCCAATAAAATGCAGTTTAATATCTATATATTTACTACGTTTATGAAATACAAGGTTCTTACACAAATGGATGGCAGATTGACTATTAGAGTGTGCTATCACATTATCACTTAAACCACCTAGTGTATTAATCAAACTTCTAATCCACAATGCTTCTTTGGTAGCTTTTGTGGCAACAATATACTCAAATTCAATAATAGATAGAGCAACAATATGTTGGAGTTGAGAGTTCAAACTCATACAAAGGTCATACAAAGTAAACACATAAAAAGCAGTAGAACTTGCTATTATTTCTATCACCGCTATATTTAGCATTTGTGAATCCTTTAAGTTTCACACCCTCCACGGTAGACTTATAAACTAACCACTCATCAAAAGTGCTCTTTAAGTACCTAAGCGATCACTTTAACGCTTCTTAATGGTTGGAACCAAGTTCAGATATGTACCTATTTAACATACTCATGGTGAAAGTCAAAGTAGGTCTAATACAGATCATGAGGTACATAATAGAACCAAAAACATTAGAGTGAGACACTTTACTCGAAAAACTTTTTTCTTCTTCATTTGTAGGCAATTGGTGTTCAGACAATACAAAATGATTTTCAAGAGGCACAAAAGCAGGTTTACAATCAACATGCTAAATTTCTTCAAAATTTTAAGCATATAAGAAGATTGATGCACAAATAAGCAAGAATTAGATCTATCCCTGTTAATCTCCATGCTAAAAATCCTCCTAGCATGTCATAGGTCTTTCATGTCAAATTCTTTACTCAACTTAATTTTAATCTTGTTTACCACGGTCATGTTAGGTCCAATTAACAACATGTTTTTTGCATAAAACTAAAGATACATGCACTCTTTATTAGTGCTTTCGTGCTGGTAATACAAGTAATGATCAAACTCACACTTCCTGAAACCAATAGATAACACATAGGAATTAAACATTTTATACCACTGTTGTGGAACTGTTTTAGTTCATAAATAGATTTATTTAAAAAACGCATATGATCTTGTTAAGACTTACTTTAAAAACCTTTGGACTGGTTCATAAAAATCTTTTAAACGAGACCAGCATAAAAAAGAATACAATTTTGACATCAAGTTGTTTCAGTTCCAAGTCATAGTAAGCAATAAAAAGCAAACATGACTTTAATAGTGGTGTACTTAACAACTGGCAAAAATGTCTCATTATAATCTATCCCTTCCTTCGGTGTGTAAACTTTGGCTACAACTTAGTCTTATATCTCACAGGCTCACTCTCAGTAGTCCCCTATTTTATTTTATGGACCTATCTGTGTCCCACGATGGATTTATCCCTAGTTCTAGGAACTAAATCCCAAGTTTGATTATTCATAAGAGAACTCATTTCATCTCTCATGGCACATTGTCATTCCTCAAAATTTTCACTTCTCATAACCACCTCATAAGTATTTGGTTCCTTATTAACTAGTTCTTGGTAACTAGTATAGGCTATGGTATAGTCAGACATCTTTGAGGTTTCCTATGTGGTTTTCTCTCTGTATCTCTAGCTAATTGATAATCAACTAGAGTTTTGGTCAATAAGATTGTCCTCAACAAATTCCTCATCACCTTCTAACTCTATATTCTACTAATTTTGTGTATTACACTCCACTTTACTAGGGGTAGTGGGAATGTAGACACTTTCTCGCTCCACCTCGACTGGGGATTCTTTCCTAGTAGTCTCTCCCTATTATTCATTCTCCATGTAAGGCATCTCAAACTCATTAGAAGTCATATCTTGACTTATGATTATTCTCACAACCTTTTGGTTTCTATCCCACAACCTATATCTCTCAACACACTCAGGGTAACCTATGAAGAAACTTCTTAGCTCTAGCTTCTAGGTTCTATTTTTCAATCACTTTGAAGAGAGAGTGAAGAACAACCAAAGGTCCTAAGCATAGAATAATTAGCACATTTACTATACCAAGTCTCATATGGAGTATCACCATTCAAGGCCGCGGAAGGATTTATATTATTCAAATAACATGCAATCATAGCAGTTTCACCAAATAAAATTAGACAGACCAAAACTTAATATCATATATTTAACTTTATCAAGTAAAGTACAATTCATCCTTTCAACAACCCCATTTTGTTGGGGAGTATAGTAATGCCATATTCATTACACAAATTGTCAAATTCAATATTGCAAAATTTGAGACCATTATTAGTATGCAAATATATTACCTTTTTACTTGTTTGGTTCTCCACCTTAATTTTCCAATTTTTAAAATTCACAAAAGTTTCAGATTTATTTTTCAGTAAATAAATCCACACATGTATGGAGAAATCGTCAATAATAGACATGAAATATTTATTACCACCAAAAGTGGGATTACTCCCCGAAGCCCACAAATCAGTATGAGTGCATACTAACGCTTTAGATGTCTTGTGTGTACTAGATACAAATGACATCTTATAATGTTTACCAAGCACACTATGATCGCAAAATTGCATGTCAAATACCTAATTCTTACCATACACACCCTTATCATTTAGGACCCTTAGCACTAGTTTGAGCTAACATATTATGCCACTTCTGTGATCAATGTCACTAATAGTGGAATTTAAACCACCTATCACCTCAGCATGCGTGATGTAAATGCTATTATTCCTAACAACCTTAACAGATTTAAGTGCTCTCTTAAACATTTTTAACACTCCATCACCAAGGGAACCAGTGAAACCTGTTTGCTCCAATTTCCATATAGAAATTAGATTTCTACCTATATGTGGAATGTACCTAACTTCTTTTAATGTGTACAAAAAACCAATGTCAAATTCGACAGTCACGCTAATCATACCAGTGATTTTATATGTAACTCTATGCCATGCAACTACATGTCCATGATCAGACTCATACAAATGATCAAACTGGAATTTATTTGATGTAATATGAAAAGAAGTACCTGAGTCAAGCATCCACTAATGCATATGGAAGTTCATAAACATGTTAATTTCAGCTGGTTCAACATCTAAGAGTATGTAAGCCTTCCTAGATTTATCTCTCGGGACAATAATGTTTACATCACTGGGTTTACCATTTCCCTGATCTCTCTACTTATTTTTTTTTCTTTATGGCACTCATTTATGAAATGTCCTAGTTTTCCACAACCGTTACATTTTCTCCCCTTAACCTTCTCCTATGACTTAGATCTATTTCTTCACTTTTTTTGCCACCACTGTTTTGGACCTCATCACTCCTAAACTGAGACCCGTTCCTCACTTGGCAAATCTGTCATATTTTTCTCTCGTTTCTTTCAACTTTTATCTCTCCCTCGTTACTCCTTAAAGAATCAATGACTATATTGAATGAAGGCTTTTTCTTATATTTGATTGCATTCTTGACTTTCTTACAGTTATTAGGAATAACATTCAAGAGAATAATAGATTTGTATTTATCAAAAATATTTTCACCACAATTTGTAATATCCTGAACGAATTTATTGAAAACATCAAGATTGTCATCTAAATCTTTTGAGGGATCATTTTGAAATTGAAGGAACTTAAAAGAAAGAAAAGTTCATTGGACATTGATTGAGTATCTTTAATCTTTCTCAAAGTTTTTCAATAGAATCATGTTTACCAACTTTTCGCAAAATATAATCAAGTAACTGCAAGATAATAGAGGAATAAGCAAGTTCGTCAAAATCCTCTTTATGATTGTCAGTCACCGTTGCGGAAAAAATATTATCAATGGCTTTTGAAACATTTTGTTATACTAAAATTCCTATCATCTCTTGTTGCCAATTAGAAAAATTACATTTACCATTAAAGACATTTAAGTCAATAAATTGCGCAGACATCTTAGCAGATAAGACATGTACCACATAAAACAACCTTCACAAAGACAATCACACAAAGAAAGTATTAGAGTCGCAGATATATTCCAGTCTAAATTTCAAGAATTTTCGTGAGTTTTGTGATCTCATCTCAAGGGAATTGTTGAGCGGGTAAGATCAAATGTAACAATTCTAATCAAATATAGCTTAGCAACAATACAAATTTACACAATAGTCAATAAAGCCACAAAAATGATAATATAACAATTTAGAAAAATAATCCTAAAATACTAGCATCATATGAGGCAGCAATCCTATTGACCACCCCACATGATGACTTGCTATTACAGAAATTCAAAGAGTTTTAGCCAATTTATCAGAGAGAACCTATTCGTGGTCTGTAACTATGAGAGATGTGAAATTACTTAAGGATTCAAGTCCTTATTGCAAAAATCAGCAGACCTGCATTTCAATTGCACCATGAACACACGTTCAATTTAACACAGATTAATTCCAGCATAGAAATCGAAAAAATCAGCCACTACAGGAGCTTAAAATAAGGCTCTGATATAATTTTTAGTGATCAACTCACCTGTCAATCAATTAACCACACCAAGGTAGTTACCTATTCAATAGATAATGGAAATTAATCTAAACAAAACAAGAATAAAGCTTTCCTATCAAGCTCCAATGAATTAGCACCAAAAACGGTTGGATCAGGGCTCAGATCAAGAGCCGAAAAATCACACAAGAACACTACACAAATTGGACCAAGGTTACCTACTCAAATGGATTACAACGACGTACCCAAAACCCTGACGAAAGCTGTGCATGAAGGCAGCGAAACAGGGACAAAAAAGGGGATAGAGCCTAAAGGCACATAACAGGTGCCCAACTCACCGGTAAAGAGCCGGCAGAAGGAGTAACGAAAGGAGGCAGCCACAAAGATGAGAGAGACAAAAGGCAGTCACAAAGAGAGAGGCCAAGAGAGGTGTAGCATATTAATAATATTGCCAAAGGAGAAGTCGAGTGTTATGTCTCACACACAAATTCGACACACCTATATATATGTAATATAATAGGTTAAGTAATGGGTCGAGAGGTAATGAGTCTTCTTTGTAACTTGGACTACCAAGTGTGACTTTTGACCCAATAGCACTTAAGTGAATTCAATATTAAGTTTCCAACGAAAATAATTGAATCTAGTATCCGTCCTAATTATTTATGATCGGCCCAAGGTTTAATTGGTATCAAAATACCCAACAAATGCATAGAGATTTATTTAAGCATGTCTGTCAAATAATTTTGAGTGATATGCACTCGCATAAAGTAGCATTTGACTATTAATGCCTGCAATTATAATATAGTCCAAGCATGCAACTATGATGGCTATAACATGAATTAGCTGAATAGCTTGTTCTGTTTCACACTTACTGCTTGACTAGTATGAAAGAGCTTCTGTAAGAGCTGGAAGACTCTTGGATGTATGGTAACCATCTCTTCCAAAACTGGTGGACTGTTGAGCATGAAAGGCCGACAGATTATTTCCGTTATATTGATAAGATTTGGTTTGGATTTTCAGGCAGAAATCAACTATCTTTGGCAGCTGCACCATCCTAATTTTGTGAATTTAATTGGTTACTGCTCGGAGGATGAACACAAACTTTTGGCTTATAAGTTTATGCCTAAGGGTAGCATGGAGAATCATCTATTTGGGAATGAGTTCAATGTAGCCTTTTATGTGTACCATAATATAATATATCATTGAATATTACTTGATGTCGAATTCGCGTGGACAATTGGTTTTATGTCGGACTAGGTGGTTCTCACTTCCGAGCTACTTTCCTGGAAACTAAGAATGAAAATTGCTCTGGCTGCTGCTAGAGGACTTGCCTTTCTTCACATACTGAGGCAGAAGTAATATATCGAGACTTCAAGACTTATAATATCTTGATTCAGTAAGTATATGTTGCTTGCTCTAGTCAAGAAAGATTTGCATTGTACTTTTGACCACTTCATTATTTCATCATGGTTTATATTCATATCGTAGGACGTCTGATTGTTTAACATGTAATTTCGCTGTTTGTGCTTTTGATTTGCAAAACTACAATGCAAAAATTTCTGATTTTGGGTTGGCTAGGGATGGACCAACTGATCATAAGACTCACGTCTCAACTCGTGTCAAGGGAACTTATGGATATACTGCTCCCGAGCATCTAATTACAGGTACTAATGTCATGCATTTTCCTCCATATTCCATGAATAGGTTGACCAAATTAATCATACACTGTATTTGTTGTTCGCTATGAAAGTGCAAACCCCAAGTGCATTCGTCACATTTAATTAATAAAGTGGACATTTTGAGTGCGAGTTGTTGATTCCTGGAAGAATGTTTACTTTCGATTACACAATTTTAATCAATTTAATTCTAATAATGAAAACAAGCACACAATAAAGATTTTGATTTTGGAAAATAACTACGAATCTACAAAATAATAAAACATGAAAATCTTGGGAACTTTGGAGGAAAATATGGTTTTGATTCATGGTTTCATTTAACCCTAATTAATTTTTCCATAAGCTAATGAACGAATTACTCATTTATGATATTCAACCAGATCTTCTAATTTTAGTTATTTATCTCACTCCAACGAAGTTAGCCCTAATTGATTTGTTTAACTTATTATATTTCTATGTCGATTAAAAGCAGACGACCGCAATAATTTTTTGTGAAAATAACCTAATGGGACATCTAGGCTTAGGGGGCATATCTTTATCTCCTACACAAATCTAGGGTATTTACTATTTGTTCTAAAATGTACAATCTTCTCTTGAATGATGTAAAAATCACTAAACTCGATCATTTATGGCCAAATAAATGAAAGACATTGAACACAACAACAAATATATATGAAAATAAGCATTTTAACATTGAAGAGCAAATATTAAAATTAATTAAAGTCAAGTTAAACTACAATCATAAATCCCAACATAAGAAATTAGCCCATATTCTATATATGATAACAAAGGAGAATATTTATTCAATACATTACAAATGATAGGAAAAAAAAAACAAATTCAATATTAAAGATAAAACCCTTTTCGGTTCGATTTGCTTAAATCTTGAGTACATCAATTCTTCTCCACCTTTTCTTTGATTTATTGTGGAGACATGCAACCAGCTGGCAAAATAAAAGGAGGAAAAGAAAAATGAAAGAGGAAGAAGGCAACCAGAAGACCCCAAGATAATTGCACACCAGGTCCCTCAACTTTGATCTTGTACAATTTGGCCCTCAAAATTTGACTTTTATATCAATCATGCCCTCCAAAAATTACAATCCAAGATCCTTCTCAACTTTTTAGTGTATGGACTTTGGACCCCAACTTCACAATTTTGCACACTTTTAGTCCATTTTCACTTCTTTTTGCATTGGCACCAAAAACGGTTGGATCAGGGCTCAGATCAAGAGCCGAAAAATCACACAAGAACACTACACAAATTGGACCAAGGTTACCTACTCAAATGGATTACAACGACGTACCCAAAACCCTGACGAAAGCTGTGCATGAAGGCAGCGAAACAGGGACAAAAAAGGGGATAGAGCCTAAAGGCACATAACAGGTGCCCAACTCACCGGTAAAGAGCCGGCAGAAGGAGTAACGAAAGGAGGCAGCCACAAAGATGAGAGAGACAAAAGGCAGTCACAAAGAGAGAGGCCAAGAGAGGTGTAGCATATTAATAATATTGCCAAAGGAGAAGTCGAGTGTTATGTCTCACACACAAATTCGACACACCTATATATATGTAATATAATAGGTTAAGTAATGGGTCGAGAGGTAATGAGTCTTCTTTGTAACTTGGACTACCAAGTGTGACTTTTGACCCAATAGCACTTAAGTGAATTCAATATTAAGTTTCCAACGAAAATAATTGAATCTAGTATCCGTCCTAATTATTTATGATCGGCCCAAGGTTTAATTGGTATCAAAATACCCAACAAATGCATAGAGATTTATTTAAGCATGTCTGTCAAATAATTTTGAGTGATATGCACTCGCATAAAGTAGCATTTGACTATTAATGCCTGCAATTATAATATAGTCCAAGCATGCAACTATGATGGCTATAACATGAATTAGCTGAATAGCTTGTTCTGTTTCACACTTACTGCTTGACTAGTATGAAAGAGCTTCTGTAAGAGCTGGAAGACTCTTGGATGTATGGTAACCATCTCTTCCAAAACTGGTGGACTGTTGAGCATGAAAGGCCGACAGATTATTTCCGTTATATTGATAAGATTTGGTTTGGATTTTCAGGCAGAAATCAACTATCTTTGGCAGCTGCACCATCCTAATTTTGTGAATTTAATTGGTTACTGCTCGGAGGATGAACACAAACTTTTGGCTTATAAGTTTATGCCTAAGGGTAGCATGGAGAATCATCTATTTGGGAATGAGTTCAATGTAGCCTTTTATGTGTACCATAATATAATATATCATTGAATATTACTTGATGTCGAATTCGCGTGGACAATTGGTTTTATGTCGGACTAGGTGGTTCTCACTTCCGAGCTACTTTCCTGGAAACTAAGAATGAAAATTGCTCTGGCTGCTGCTAGAGGACTTGCCTTTCTTCACATACTGAGGCAGAAGTAATATATCGAGACTTCAAGACTTATAATATCTTGATTCAGTAAGTATATGTTGCTTGCTCTAGTCAAGAAAGATTTGCATTGTACTTTTGACCACTTCATTATTTCATCATGGTTTATATTCATATCGTAGGACGTCTGATTGTTTAACATGTAATTTCGCTGTTTGTGCTTTTGATTTGCAAAACTACAATGCAAAAATTTCTGATTTTGGGTTGGCTAGGGATGGACCAACTGATCATAAGACTCACGTCTCAACTCGTGTCAAAGGAACTTATGGATATACTGCTCCCGAGTATCTAATTACAGGTACTAATGTCATGCATTTTCCTCCATATTCCATGAATAGGTTGACCAAATTAATCATACACTGTATTTGTTGTTCGCTATGAAAGTGCAAACCCCAAGTGCATTCGTCACATTTAATTAATAAAGTGGACATTTTGAGTGCGAGTTGTTGATTCCTGGAAGAATGTTTACTTTCGATTACACAATTTTAATCAATTTAATTCTAATAATGAAAACAAGCACACAATAAAGATTTTGATTTTGGAAAATAACTACGAATCTACAAAATAATAAAACATGAAAATCTTGGAAACTTTGGAGGAAAATATGGTTTTGATTCATGGTTTCATTTAACCCTAATTAATTTTTCCATAAGCTAATGAACGAATTACTCATTTACGATATTCAACCAGATCTTCTAATTTTAGTTATTTATCTCACTCCAACGAAGTTAACCCTAATTGATTTGTTTAACTTATTATATCTCTATGTCGATTAAAAGCAGACGATCGCAATAATTTTTTGTGAAAATAACCTAATGGGACATCTAGGCTTAGGGGGCATATCTTTATCTCCTACACAAATCTAGGGTATTTACTATTTGTTCTAAAATGTACAATCTTCTCTTGAATGATGTAAAAATCACTAAACTCGATCATTTATGGCCAAATAAATGAAAGACATTGAACACAACAACAAATATATATGAAAATAAGCATTTTAACATTGAAGAGCAAATATTAAAATTAATTAAAGTCAAGTTAAACTACAATCATAAATCCCAACATAAGAAATTAGCCCATATTCTATATATGATAACAAAGGAGAATATTTATTCAATACATTACAAATGATAGGAAAAAAAAAACAAATTCAATATTAAAGATAAAACCCTTTTCGGTTCGATTTGCTTAAATCTTGAGTACATCAATTCTTCTCCACCTTTTCTTTGATTTATTGTGGAGACATGCAACCAGCTGGCAAAATAAAAGGAGGAAAAGAAAAATGAAAGAGGAAGAAGGCAACCAGAAGACCCCAAGATAATTGCACACCAGGTCCCTCAACTTTGATCTTGTACAATTTGGCCCTCAAAATTTGACTTTTATATCAATCATGCCCTCCAAAAATTACAATCCAAGATCCTTCTCAACTTTTTAGTGTATGGACTTTGGACCCCAACTTCACAATTTTGCACACTTTTAGTCCATTTTCACTTCTTTTTGCATTGTTCTCTTTTATTTTGGGATTTTGACAAACAAAGCCATAATTGCACAATTGTGAAGAGAAATTCATTCAATTTTTAATCAACAATTAGCTTGTAAAGTATCTCATAATTATGCAAAAAACACTTATTATTTGTCCTTGCTGACCTTGACCAATCTTTGAAGTTTTCCTACTCTTTGCATTTGTTATGGTCAATGTGGGTTGCTTGCTTCATGGACTTAGTATATGGCAAATTGACGAGTTAATTGTACCAGTAGTCACTAAACTTAGGTCCATGTCTATGATTGGCCACTGAACTTTAAAATGTCAAGTTTTAGTCACTGAACTTAGGTTCATGTCTTTGATTGGCCACTGAAGTTGAAAATGTCGAGTTTTGGCCATTGAACTTAGGTCTATGTCTTTGATTGCTTGCTGAAATTTAAAATGTCGAATGTTGACCACTAAATTTTGAAAAACGTTGTGCATTACTCACTGAATTTGAAAAATATTGTGCATTACTCACTGAACTTTAAAAAATATTGTACATTACTCATTGGACTTTGAAAAATGTTGTATGTTATTCACTGAAAACTCGATATTTTTCAATGTTCAATAGTTATGCTAGTGAGTAATGTACGGTATATTTTAAAGTTTAGTGGCCAAAACTCGACATTTTAAATTTCAATGAGCACTCTAAGACATAGACCTAAGTTCAATGATAAAAACTTGACATTTTTCAAAGTTTAGTGATCAAAACTCGACATTTTAAATTTCAGTGACCAATTAAAGACATGGATCTAAGTTCAGTGACCAAAACTCAACATTTTTCAAAGCTCAGGAGCCAAGACTCGACATTTTAAATTCAGTGCCTAGTTAAAGACATTGACTTAAGTTCAGTGACCATTGGAACAATTAACTCGCAAATTGTCATCCATTTATTATTATTTGAATAAAAGGCTTATGAATCTTTGAGTACAAATCTCTGAAATATTTAAGTTAGAAAAGGATAATGCTCTCAGGTGAACACCTAGAAAGAACGATAGGGTTCTCTAATATGGCTTCCCCATGCGACCCCATTGTTTTCTCGAACGAGTTATCTTAGGTTTGAGCATAGCTTTCCTCTCTTGAAATAGAGGAAACCAAAACCCTTCCTCATACCTGTGGAGGCATGCAACCAGTTGGCAAAATATGTTACTCTCGTGCTTCTCCATTTAGCTGCCAAGGTTGATGTGTACAACATTGGAGTGGTACTTTTACAAATTTTATTTGGGAAGAAAGTAATAGACAAAAATCGGCTATTGAGGGAAGAAATTTTGGTTAAATGGGAAAAACCTTACCTAACTAACAGATGTATATTGTTGCACTTTCTAGACCCCTGTCTTAAGGCCAATACTCGATGGGTTAAGCCTTAAAGGCAGTTGCCCTTGTGTCTCAATGCCTAAGCGTAGAATCTCAGTTGAGGCCAAACATGGACGAGGCCATAACTCCTTGAGAGTAGGTTTAGTTTTCAAAGTGCACTTTAGAAAGTGATCGTTTCACCAGTTGGATTGACACGGCCAACCTCACTATGGACATAGGTCATACTGAAAAAGTGCTAAAGAAACTCGTGAAGTAATGGATTATCCCAGAATTTCAGCTTTCCTTTTGTTGGAAAATATGGGTTGTCGATCATCCATGTAGGGTAACTTGACTCATAAGATATCGAAAGGATAGGAGATAGTGGTTTGAACTTGAAATTCAAACCTACAACTTTCTATAACCATCATTAACTCCCATACAACCTCCAACAATTATTGCCTAGAAAAAGAGAGAAAAGATGACAAGAAAATGGTGAAATTTGTGTGTGAAAATACACCAAAATTAGAAAGGCCCTAAAATCACTATCTTAGCATGAAAACTCACAAAATAAGGTACTTAAATTGTGGATAATAATCATCTTCCATTGTGATCAGGATTGGGACCATTGAAGATGAGAAAATACAGATTTTCGAGTTTTGAGATGTTATGTGATTCAACCGCACAAAGATCTTGGAATTCAATACTTTCAACTAAATATTCTTATTCGTAATTTATGATTATGAATGTTGCGAATTTCTAAATTGGTATTAGAGACATATAGTTGAATTCCTTGCTGTAATACATACTTAAATATGTCATTACATGATTTAATTGTGTTATGAATCTTGTATGTAATGTTTTGAAACCTTATGTGGTCTTTAATGACATTTTTTGATATACATGTCTAAAATTAATGACATTTTGAAATTATGTATATAATATACTTTAAAATCCACCTGTAAAATTTCATCAATTTTCGTTGTTGCATTTGCACGAAAATTGAAACCCTAGTCAATTTTGAAAAAACTTTAAAAATTTACTGCATTTTATTCATTAATTTTCAAGTAGTAATATAGTATACTTAGAAAGATATTTCAATGAGCTGTTGAACCATATAAAGAACTTAAATTTTGGACTT